GGAGCCATGTGTTGTTGTTTGGTGTCTACCACCGTTGGGCTTGGTTGATCGGATAGAGGAATGACTGGTGTGGTGGTTGAGTTGACAACAGCTGATAGGGACAAAATAAATGATATGAAATATTTTGATAAATTGAGTGTCAAATAAAGGAGAGAAAGGAAAAGTGATTATACCTTCGAAGTTTAGCCGCGAGGCTAGAGAGCGAAACCCAGGAAAAATGAACAAATCCACCATAAGGGAAGCCATATATTCTTCCCTGGCCGCCCGTAATTCTTCCGAGAAGGCTAGTTGGGCGGCCGCGGTCTTCTTGGCCATCTTCTGTGAGGAACTGGCACCCCCAGCCTGGGCGCCCCTCGGTCGCTTGGGTCGCGGAAGACCAAGATTAACCTTTCTTGTTAAAGGTTAAGGTAGCAATACTAGTTGCGACCCCGATTGAGCAGCTGGAGGTGGGAAGGGAATGCGTAAGCAGTCGGCGATGGGCCTCCCAACCACGGGCCAGGCTAGGTCCAACCACCATCCCAGAAAATCACGGATGGTGTCTAGCCGATCTCGGGAAGGTGTGTAGATGTGGTTGGTGAGATAGAAAGTGAGATGGTCGGTGTATTGCTTGATGGAATATGAGGTGACACTATTTTGGGTATGGGTGCGAATGAGATAGGGATTGAACACGAAATTTGGAATGCCCTGGCGACACCCGAAGTGGCAGGCCAGGTAATGAGGATAGTAAAGGAAGACAATGTAAGCCTATTTGTTTTCTCTATCTTTTTGCTGGCGAGAAGAGGTTGGAGTTTTAAGACTGACTTCCTATGACCTTTCCGATCAGGGCACAAGGATAGGAGATATTGACCGAACAAGGGTTTGAATCAATTATTAAAGGACGGTGTTCGAAAAAAATAATGGAGAAGTACAAACAGAACCACAACTCCAAAAACCAAATGGGACTGGAGCAAATGGTGACAAGTTTGGCAGAGTTAGAGATTTTGGGATAGGTTTTGGTTAGGCCCTCAAAAAGGTTGGCCAAAAGAAAAGTACCGACTAACAAAAATCTGCCCTTGGCAAGATGGATGGTGAGGTCAGTATGGGTATAATAGATGGATTTTGAAGAAGGACAAATGATGTATCTGTGAAGCCCAAAAACAAAAAAAATATGTTCCATTAATTCGAGTAGACATGTAACTAATTCGGAGATAAGAGAGAGAAGTACATACCTACAGAGCCAGAACAAAAGGAAGACGACATGCTCTTCATCAGTCACTGGAGTATCTCTCGCATAAAAGTGCATTTTGATTAACGGCCCTCAGTTGTAGCATATTTTCTCTTTAAAAATGAGATCAAGAGACAAGGAACAGGACAGGGGATTTGTCTTATGTGACCAAAAGTAGAATAAAGCAATCAAATTGTGATAAATGTGCAATGTCTCACTCCAATCAATCGTAAATATAATGAGAGATTAAAAAAAATAGAAATTAAAGCGAAAAGAATTTATTATCATTCAAAACGATATCTGAAAGATTGCTGCCACCGCTAAGCTAAAAATATTTGTATAAATATTCCCTTTGGTGAACCAAGTTTCAACGACTCGAAAGTATTTGATACACAATTTGATCAGTCTAGCGAGGTAGAAGTTTTAAGGATCGTGTTTATTCATTAAGATTTTTCCTGAGCACCATTACGGCACTTTTCTAGGAGATTCCTTATTGACATGAATATTTTGTTGATTATACTTTTGATTAACTTTGTTCAGGGACGAACAAAGCCTAGTGTGAGGAGGTTTGATTACACTAATTTTGAACATATTTTCCTAACAATTTCTATAAGCATGTCTCACAATTCTTGACTGAAACTGTTATTATTTGTGCCAAAATTGTTTGGTAAATGCGTGTTGTGTCTTTTTAAGTGCAAATTGATGTGCCTTGGCAATTTTTCAGTATTTCAGATGCAAAAATAGACAATTTTTGTGTTCTCTAAAGAGGATATGTGTGAAGCAAATAGGTTGCATGCTAGATCACTTAGCCGCATCGCGAAAGAAAGAGAAGAGAGAAAGGCAATGCTAGCTGGATGATAGAAAGGGATTGAATTGACCAGGATCTCAGTCTTAATCCATGTCAAAGTTTAAGCCATCTCGAATGTTGATTAAAAATTAGCATCTGCGGGATTGAATGGGGGGAGGGGGTTAATTCACCAGCTATTGATGGAAAACGTCACCTTCTAGAAGTTGGGCCAGTGCCTAAAATAGGAGCCAACCCGGAGCTCCTTTGAAAAAAAAAAGATTTTATAATATGAAACTCACATTTTGTTGGAAAAGAGCTCAAGCTGTAAGGAACTCTGGACGCTAGACGCGGGTGGTTGGCAGAACTCGTGACAAATGTCGCGTGCTTGCCACATATTCCATTTAAATTCCGCACGCCAATAAAGTTACAAGCTTTCTAGTGTAACATACATTCAATTTTTAGTTAACTCGCAAGTTTCAATTCTTAGTTAATCGTAATGTTTAAATTTGGTAGTACTTAAGCAATAAAATATTATGTTTCTACATCGCACTCTCGTTCATGGATGATGCAAACTTGAAATATCAGCTCGAAAACACTTTAAGATAATGAGATTTAAAACGCATGTAAATCACTCAACTGAACCTAGTTAGATGAATTTGAAAGAAAATCACGCTGGTAGGTAGACCTAAGGTGCTCGCGAAATATGTGTCTTGCACGCAATTTCACAAAGAAAATATAATAAAAAGGTTGGTGACTAGCTATTTAATTGATTCATGAGTCGCGAGTGCAAAGAGAACGACTCATAGGACAGTAAAACATGAATATATCAGCTTAATAATCAATAACTAGTATAGCCTTCCAAAGTACCTATAGATCAAATAATTCCTAAATCGCAAGGTGCATTAGAAAGCATATATTTCTTGTGTTCACTTCCACACAACATTCCAATGCACGAAGTTCACCTTCATCTATCTAGCGGCCATTCTCTTCTTTTTTTGCACTCATAATTAACAAGTGCATTCAGTCTTACCTCGCACCATTTATTTTCACTCTTACGTCGCATGTAATCTCTTAAGCCGTTTTTAAATTCAGTAATATAAAATGTATTCAATTCAACTTGATTCATAAACTTGGAATCATCTTCATTTAAATTTCCCCTGTATTCGACCTAGCACCCATCGGTTAACATGAAAAAATTCTATTATTTGATGAAAAAAAATTTGTTACAACACGTCACACACGAGAATCACACCTTAAACCAAATTTCAATAATCACTAAGTTGTTGGGTAAAATTAATCCTTTGGAGCTATGTGTTGGGAATAGTACCAGCCGAGAATATTGGTATACGGATGAAAAATAGCAAATGAAATGCCATTTGCCAAAGTTGATCACAATGATGCATAGGCCATAAGGAACTGAGCCCGACTCATTCTTGATGAAACTTGTTCATTGGAAATAACGGAGACAACAAAAGACGGGATGTTACAAGATAAAGAAAGATAAGGCTTCAAGACTAGTGAATGAAGAGTTGAATGAAGTGAGGGCATATCAAAGTGATTAATTGGTACGACAATTGAATGAAGAAAAAAATGACTAGTATTAAAGGTGCCTCACTCGACATACGTAGGTGCTTTTTTGTCCGGCCATCCCGAGGTCCATCAACTCCCAATTATCTTAACACGTCCGGACAACTCCAAGCCTTTATCGCATCCACACATTCCCAAATTTGAGCACGCTTGTCGACTTTGCACTGGGCTATGACGTTTAGCAATCTATGAATTTCTAAACTCAATTAATTTTATATAGTAACAGTTTTATAAGGCAAAAAAAAGATAGAATAATATTTTTTAAAATATTAATTTTTTAAATTTTAATAAACTTTAAATATATGAAAATACTGCACATCTTAAAAAGTATATAAATATTATAATTAATAGAAAATATGAGTATATTATAATGGAAATGGTCCCGGCAATATAAATTGGGTGAGATGAAGAAGGAGCGAGACAGGAGACATGAACCCCCACCCGGGAAACGGACAAGGTAATTAAGAAGCGACAGGACTGGACCAATGAAAGGATAGCGTAAGGTAGCCGGGTGCTTGTTTTGTCCTGTTGTGAGGTGAGGTGGCCGGTGGTGCACAGCACATGCAACATGCAGGAATCTCACGAGGAAAATGATGATCAAACCTTTTTTTTAAATATATATATATTTATTTATATTTTGAAATGGACCTGTGGAGTGGAGAAGTGGACATGTGGGGAAGGGATGCCTCTCCCTCTCTCGCACAGTGTGAGTGACTCACTTCAATGTTCACATCGGCTTAACACTAGTAATAGAATAATTAATTAAAACAACATATTATTGTTACTATAATTATTATTACAAAAATATTAAACACGTGTTCCATTTTAAAAAAGTCAGAGAAGAGAAAAGTATGAGAACTCCCGTGGAGTATATTGATTGAAGTAGGTGGGTAGCTGTGAAATGAGGAAAGCGCGCGTGGGGGCGGCCATCGTGGTAGGGACGGGCAATCCTCGACCCCCACCTTGTCTACATTTCAATTTTCATCACGTGTTTTTTATTTCATTCATCAGCTTTTTCTGAAACCCAATTTAAAGCAGCCAAGACCCAGCCAGCCAACAGGCTTGGATATTTCAGGATTTATATATATATATATATATAACGAAAATATAATTAATTAATCACTTTTACCATAGCCCACTCCATTGTCCCACGTCACAGTGGCAACAACACTAACAATAATCACAACAAAATAATTGCTGAAATACCACCAGTACATCTGCCATCATATCTTATCCTACCGTTTCATCCCGGCCGTCCCTTCTCTTGCCTTGTAAACCCACAAAGCTTCTTGATTGCGGTCGGCCATATTGGGATATGAAACGACCGTTTCACCTAAAAGATCGAATTGTTAAAAAACGCACTCATTAATCATATAGTTGCAAAAAGGAATCCTAACAGTATGGTATCTATACGTGCTCATATAGAATAGAATCACATACCTAGAGTATATTATGTGGATGGAGAAAGATGATTGTGCCAATGATACGTAAACTTAACACAAACATAACATGTAACATACAAAAGGAACGAAGATATGTCTGAATGTATGTGTTGATGATTAATTTTCTCTTATTGATATATACATACTTGAAACAAAGGATGGCCTAATAGACTGCTTAATAAGTGGAGTGGAGTGGAGGAGTTATAGCGATTGCATTGCAGCATCCTTGGCTATATATAGTTAAATTAGTTGAGCAGGCAGGTCCCGGTCCCGGTCCAGATCCTGGTCCTGGTCCAATCTGGCTAGGAGAGCAGTTCTGAGGGTGTTTTCGCACCTTAGTCCATGAGGGACTTTTATTACAACGTCCTGCACCATCAAATCGTTGAGGCAGGACATGCTGGCGTGGTGAACCTGCAGTTCCAGGTCGCGGAACGCGTCCATCAGCCTCGTCGCCGGGTAGTTGACGTTGTCCGACTGGGTTCTGATCATCCCGTCTGTCCCCACAATCCGCACCTCAACTTCCAGGAACGATGACGACGCCGAGGCCGACGACGACGACGAAATCCCTGTCGTTTGATCCACCGAATTAGTTGTGGTTGTGCTCTGATTGTCCACCTCCGTCTTCACTACTGGTTTTCTTGCATCATCTGACTCTGTCTGCCGTCGGAGCTGCGACTGGAGGTCGTCCACTTTGGACTTGAGTTCCTTGATGTACGAAACGGCATCCGACAGCAGGGAGGCTTTGTCCATCCGCGACACGTTTGGGACGACGGAGCGGAGGGCGTAGAATCTGTGGTTGAGCTTCTCCCGCCGCTGCCGCTCCGCCTCCACGTGGTTCAGCGCGTCCCGTCCCACGCTCGGCTTCCGCCCTCTCTTCTTCGGGGTTCTCTTGGTCTGGACGTGCTGAGTAGGATTGTCGTCCTCGGCCATGAACAGCTGGCAGTCGGAATCGGACAGCTCCGACTCCAAATGGGACAAGGAGAAGGCGTCCCCCCTTTTATTATTAGTATTATACCGGCCATGGTCATGATCTGCTCCCAATTGTTGAAATCCGGCGAGCGCGCCTCCTCCTCCGCCGCCACCAAACGAAATAGTTCTCTCCTGATCCTGATCCTGAAAGTGAAACTGAGCAGCATCGGGCTCGAAGAGCGACTTGACTTGCTTGACCAGATTCCAGTTTTCGGTGATGACGGCGTCGGATCCGAGCTCGAGGACGCCATTAGAGGTGGGGATGCACACCATGGTCTGCATCCCATGGTTCTGAGCCTCCTTGGCTCTCTGGCAGTTGTAAAACCTGAGCTGGTTGGCGCCGCTGAGCCACACAAGGGACCCGGAGTTGAAGGCCTTGCCGAGGACACCGTCGCCGAGGGAGAAGGACTGGGCAAGAGACATCACGTAGAACCACTCCGCGTCGGTGACGTCGCCGTCGACGGCGGCGGAGGACATGTCGAGCTGGTTGTTATCGCCGATGAGAGCCTGAATCCCTTGCATCACCTTCTTCCTGTCCGGCTGAAGAAGATGGGATCCTCCCGACTTTTGGTGCTTGCTGTTGGTGTTGGTGTTGGTGTTGGTGCCCTGAAAGTGGCCGTCGCCCCATGCGAGGAAAATACGGTCGGAGGAATCGTCCTTGGAGGCTTGCCAGAAAATGGCGTAGGCCCACCAGTCGGGCTGGATCTGGAGTATGTGGTGCAGCTTTTTCTGGAGGGCGGGGGAGGTGGAGGAGGCGGAAGAAGATGAATTGGTAGGGGTGGCGGACGAGAGGATGAGGCCACCGTGCTGCTGCTGATCCATGTCCACGCCAACGCCAAAGAGAAAATGTGTCTGTGTCTCTGTGTATGTGTGTGTGGGTGCCTGCCGACTAGAGATTAGTGCTATTATATATTGGAGTTGGAGGAGTTGATTGATGAACTGCTATATAATCAATTAAAAACAGATGAATAATAAAATAAATAGATAGAGAGATATAAGGGATCTATACGTGAGTCCGTCCATACTTGTACACTTAGGTCCACATATGAACATGATAATAATAATTACTTTTGAGCAAAATAATTGAAATTCCAATATCCCCATTCAAACCCAACCCAAGTTTCAAATTTGCTTTTGATTTTCAAATTGATTATATTAAAACGGGATTTGAATTTAGCGATCTATTCGACTCAGAAGTAAAGCGAAAAGACTGTTTTAATTGGCAGGATTTCTTTGGGGTCTATCCTAATTAATAACAAATGAATTTAGAGTTTAGGGTGTTTTGGGGTGCTTATAAATAGACAGCTATGGTTCCTAGTTGTATGACAATGATTATAACTTTCTGAATCAATATAATAAAATCTCTCCGATTCCTACCGGTGGACGTAGGTTGACACAACGTCACCGAACCACGTTAAACCTCTGTGTTCTTTATTTGCTTTCTTTCTCGTTTTTCTCATAATAAGTGGTATTAGACTCATATCTGATTGATTGAAGATATCCTCGTATAAGATTGATCTGGAGAAGTTTAATGGGTCGAATGACTTCACACTCTAGAAAGTCAAGATGAGGGCACTTCTGGTTCAACAGGGATGTGCGGCTGCATTGCAGGAAGAAGATAGGTTTTCTAAAGACACGAAGGAGGAGGTGAAGATGGAGATTTTGGTATGGCTCATTCCGCAATCTTGCCGTCAGTTACTGATGAGGTGTTACGGGAGGTTGTAGATTAGACGATGGCTTTTGGGCTATGGAATAAACTGTGTGAGAAGTACAAGAACAACTCTCTCACGAACAGGCTATATCAAAAGCAACGACTTTAAACTCTCTGGATGTCCGAAAGTACTCAGGTAAAGGATCATCTTCATACATTTAACGGTATTATTCTTGATCTTCAAGGGGTTGAGGTTAAAATAGATGATGAAGATCAAACCCAGATTTTATTTTGTTCACTACCTAGTTCATATGAGAGTTTTGTAGATACTATGCTATATGGTAGAACTACAATTTATGTTAATGATGTGAAAGATGACCTTATGTCCAAATAATTAAAAAAAAAAAAGGTTTTTATGGAAGAAGGTTCTGGTTTAGGTCTGTTTGCAGGTAGGGGAAGACCACAGGAGAAAGGTAACGAGAATGGGATAATCAAAATCCTCTAGTAAAGTTAAGTGTTATATTTGCAAGGCAAAACTGCCTATATCCCCCCTGTGGTTTGGAAACTCAACGCCATTTCCTCCTGTACTTTAAAAACCGCGTGGTTCTCCTCTGTGTTTTCATAAACATTGCACACTCTCCCCATTGATCAATTTAACCTAACGGTGTTAAATTTTATATGTAATGGGCCGTTATACCCCTCAATTAAATATCTCACGTAACTTTCTCTCACTTCTCTCTTACCACTCCTCCCCACCCCACCGACATCTATCCCCACCATCCCCCCCGAAGTCGCCGCAGCTCCAGAAGAAACTCCAGGTTCCGACGGTGGCTGTCTCCCCCGGTGGTTGCGGTCGCGATTTCGACCAAGAACAAGTCTGTCATTCATTCCTCTTCAGCGATATCACGGGTATTCAACTTGTTATCGCGATTTAGGGTATTTCACAGGTTATCTTCTACCTCGTTCTTTTTGGTTTTTTTTTTCACGGGTTAGGGCATTTTTCATTTTTCCTTTGCTTTCACGGACTATGGCAATTTCGGGTTGAGAAGTTCTTTGATTTGTCTGGTTTTTATTGGTTTTCGATGGTGTTCCCCAAAAACCCATTACCTGCCTGCGTAAAGTTTTGAATTTATTGGTTTTTTTTAATCGAACTTTTGTTTTTTTGTCTGGGGGTGGACCATCTTCGCTTTGTTTTGTATAGTTTATTTATGTTTGTCAGTCGGAGGGGGATTGAATCGCGATTTTGGTTGTCCCACTTGCAGGATTTTGTTAGTTCGAAGCAATGGATGAAGACTCCTACGTTGATATTTACATGTGGGTTGGTGGATATTTTCAAGTGAAAAGCCCAGGTCATCCTTACGTAGGTGGAATAAAAGTATTGTTTAAAAAGATCAACAAGGACATGATTTATTATGAGACCCTCCTGAATATGTACGGACATGTTGGTGGAAAGAGCCTTGCAGTTCGCATGTATCACACTTCTAAAGGGGTCCCCTGCGGATTCAGCACCAAATTTATTTTCCTAATGAAGACCGACGAGGATGTCTTGGAAATGTTTCGCGAGCATTATGGGGAGAAGCACATACACGTTTATGTAGAAGACGTTGGATTGCCATCGCGACATGCGATAGAGAGTGGCGCGAAGTAGGATTGGAAAAACAGGTGCCCCTCATTGGTTGGCATGGAGATAACAATTCAAGTTATTTTCCGATTCCCCCAGGTAGTGCGTTTATTGAGCTGCCATCTTCAGAGGCTGACGAGTCTGTGGAAGAGAACCATGGTGGTTGCGTGGGTGGAGAGTGCTCTACCGCATGGACTGGCAGAAATATGACCGGGGGTTTGTTCCGAACAATGAATTATACAATGCGAAGGGTAAACGAGTTGCTGAAACTGTGGAGGAGTTAGATTCGGACTCGGACTCTGAGTCCTCGGAAATGGATGGTGGGGAAGGGCGATATTATGGTGGGTTTGGCGATAGGGATGAAATGGATGAAGAGAGTGATGAGAATGTCGAAGGAGAGGAGTCCGAAGGAGAAGAGTCCGATGATGAGGGGGTGAAGGAATGGACGAGGAGGATGATGATGTTCGCGGTAGTGGACCGCCAACGTGGAATTATGACGACAACAATGAAGATTCGTACGGGGGGACGGTCTAGGGCATCTTGGTGTGGATGAACCGGTGTGGATAGATTACAATGAAGATATTGCGGGTGCGAGAAAGGCTAAACAGCATGGTGCGGAATATACTTTCGGCTTTACACCAAGTAGAGATCAATGGGAACAACATAGTGCGGGTTATCATTTCGATGAACGGGCTGCTATGGACGATTCATATGATGGGGGCTTCGACGGAGGAGATAGTGAGCACGATGGGAGATTCAACCGTGATGACAGTTATGACATGGCCATAGAGGATCAACTGGACGGGGATGATGACTTGGAGGGAGAGTTTACTGCACCAGCTACAGACGATGCCGAATATTGGGATGGCATCACATCCGGCGAAGAAGATGATGACGATGATGGAGATGGATCGGGGTTTGAGGGACTTGAAGAAGAGATACACCGATTGCATGGGGAGGATGATGAATTGCCCGAAAATGAGCATGATTTCGAGGGATTTGAAGGTCTTCATGGAGAGGATGATGAGGACGAGGAGGAGCAGGCGGGTGGGTTCACGGCAGCACCTCGATCGTCCGAGGGCTGGTTCAGCGATGCAGACAGCGACAACGAGGGATGTCTAAGAACACCGCCTCGGATAGATCATACCTCGGCCCCTACGTATCATGAATAGGACGAGGATTGTGATTTAGGTTGTGTTGATTTAAAAGTAGGCCTAATGTTTGAAAGCTGCGAGAAGTACAAGAATGCATTGAGGGATTGGTCAGTGCGCAAAGGATGGGACATATTTTTCGTAAAGAATGAAAGGACAAAAGTAACCGCGGCTTGCAAAAAGGGATGCGCTTGGAGGATCTACGCATCATGTGTAATTAATGGGCCTACATTTCATATCAAGACGTTAAAAGGTACTCACACTTGTTTGCGCATTTCTGTTCGGGCAATATTTATTGGTGCAGTTGTACATTACATTTTTTTTTTTGTGTTTGCTTGTACATTATGTAGGAACTCACACTTGTGCGCACGACACACGAAATACACAAGCGGATTACAAATACCTAGGAAGATGAATCAAGAGTATCGTAAGCGATAACCCTGATATTACGCTCCCCGCTCTCAAGAAAAGGATTCGCTGGGAAGTTCGTGTTGATGCTAGTATGCATAAGGTCTATCGGGCAAAAAAGTACGCAATGCAGATGATTCGAGGGGACACGAAGGAGCAATATCGCCGGTTGTATGACTACTGTGCGACTGTCTGCAGGTACAACGAGGGCAGCAGTCTTATATTGGATGTAAATCGCAATAGTGATCCTCCTATTTTGCGCAGAATGTATTACTGCCTGTCGGGTTTAAGGGATGGTTTCTTGGATGGGTATCGTACGATTATAGGGCTAGATGGCTGCTTCCTAAAAGGAATTTACAAGGGGCAGCTGCTCACGGCAGTTGGCCGTGACCCAAACGAGAATATATATCCTTTAGCGTTTCCGTTTGTCGAGATTGAAAAATTCGAGACATAGGACTGGTTTCTAGAGTCTCTGCTGAGCGATTTGGGCGAATTCAGGAACGGAGAGTGGGGATTTATATCAGACAAATAGAAGGGGCTGGTTGAGGCCATATCTGTTCGGGTGCCGCATGCAGAGCACAGGTTCTGCGTCCGACACATGTCAACAATTTCAAAGCTCGATTCAAAGGGCTTGCATTGAAGAAGTATTTATGGTCTGCCGCTTTGACGTATAGTGTAAAGGAGCACGAGAAAATTATGAGAGATATCCGAAAGTACGATGCGGTGCACATGATTGGAGAAGAGGCATACGCGTGGTTGAGCGAAGTTCCCCCCCACCAATGGTGCCGCGCCTACTTCTCGCCGAGGACCAAAAGTGATACGCTTGTAAACAATATGTGTGAGTCCTTCAACCGGTATATAATTGAAACGATAGATCTCCCAATTGTTGACATATAGGAGTGGATAAGGCGCAACCTTATGGTTCGAATACAGACGAAGCGTGTGGGGATTGAAAAATTCATTGGAGCCATCTGCCCCAACTTTGTGAAGAAGATCGACAAACAGCGGGTAGAGTCCAGGAACTGTTTTGCGTCGTGAGGAGGCGGAGAAAACTTTGAGGTACTTCATTACCAACGAAATCATGTGATTCAGCTTCGACATAGGACTTGCACGTGTGGGATGTTTCAAGTTTTTGGGTACCC